AACCAAACCCGATGAAGCGCAAGATCTATCCCCCCCCTCCTGGCCAGCTCAGACCAGACACGGGGCCTGCGCGTGGCAGACGGCTCAGGAACTGGAGGCGGTAGCGAAATGAACTCCTCGAAGGATTCAGCAAGGGGCAAAACCATCTTGCCAGCGGCAGAATTCGCAATCTCACGGGCCCAATCGGACAGGTGGCAGCAATCATCGCACTCTCCGTTGCAAATGCGCTTGGGCCGCTCGCGTCGACTCAGGCGTACAGAACTGATTAAATATCGAACTGCTTCAAGAACAGCTAAGTCCATGTCTGACAGCAACAGAGCGACGCCGACCATAACGACAGATGGCAACAATGCATAGAGACTGTGAAGACGCGTTCTTCGCCAAAGATCTTCCCACATTCGCAGCGATGCCAGCACAATGTCCCTTTTACATTGAATTGCGCTCAGAATTCGGGCGATGACCGTTATGGCGCGCGTAGGTCGGGTCGTTCAGAGCCCCGGGATCATAGCTCGCCATCTTCTCATCTGCAGCTACGAGCGCATATACGATGACATTGCCGTCGCGTCACTTGGTAGTCATCTCGTAACTGGAGCGGTGATGACTGCGGAAGTACTCCTCCAGCATCGTCCACCCCGAGCACCTCGGGTTGTTCTCGAAGTTCTCCATGGCCAGCGCGATCGCAGCAAACTTCGAGCACTGCGGTGTGGGACGAGTACCAGCGCAATCAGCCATGGCAGCGGCCTGCACGCCCTCGTCGTCGCGGGAGGCATCGACGGGCGCAGGCGCGCACGCGATCCCGTCGTCAATTGAGCGATCGACGACAGCAGGCGGCGCGGCGACAGCAGGCGGCGAAGCGCGGATGGCGGGGGCCGCGCAGCACGGCTGGTCACAAGCTGCTCGGCACAGAATGCCAAGCGGACGAATAACTGATCAAGACGGATGGTAAGAAGTCCTGAGCGAGCGAGCACAACGACGCACGTCTCCCTCTCCCTCCTGACTCAGGAGAGCGCGACCATGAGCAATGCCCCTCGCGAGACCGAGGGAGGCCAGCGCAAGAAGAGACAACAAGAAGGACATGATCCGAATCTCGCACCTGATGCGACCCGAGACGCCCGCCCACGGCACCACGAGGAGCAAACGATGCGAAACGGGAAACTCTTCTTACCCGTCGTCTCTCTCCCTGCCTGTCCCCCCACACCGCTGCGCGCCCTGCGCTGTCCGTGAACCCATTTAGGATAGACCCAACTTCTCGAATTCATCCTCTGCGTTAAGAGCCCAAGCTTTACCGCGGCAACAAGAATTCGGACCCTCGTGTAGCGCAGCCCAAACACAGTCGCCCTTGAAGACATCAGCCGCACGAAGCTTAGAAAGAGCCGAAAGCTCGGTGGAATCGCTTCGCGCTGGAGCCACGACACCAACAAGACAGTGATATGTGACCTCTGCGACACAGTCGCGAAGCAAAGAAGTAACTGGAGCGCTCAACTTTCTTAGCTGCTGCTTTCTTGTATTATGCTAGCTTCTTGGGCTGCTAATCGACATGTGCCAGGCAGAGACAACAACGCGCCCGAACAACATCTGGAGCGCTGCCGCGATTGTCCACGAAATCGCGCGGACACTCACCCGGAGAGCGCAGCGCCGTGCACCTCTCCACCCTGGACTTGCGCCCGCAATAACTGCAAGTGCGAACAATGAAACGAGCGCTAGAACCGACTCCCGAGAGACCCTTACAACCTCGAGCGCATGGATGAGGGAGGTCTGGAGGTTTTCTGTTCCAACCTAAGAATTGATCCCGAGCCTAACTTGGTTTCTTCACGTCGCGACCCAAACCCACGCAATCTGGAATACCCCTGAGAATACGACCATGACTGAGCCCTTCGCGCTGACCCGAAGCAAACGCAGCACCATGACCGAAAACAGAGATAGGATCCGAAACGGACTCCCCCTCCTCAAACTCCCCATCAGACACGCTAGCCGTAGGGTAAGATTCGGTCGATCGAATAGCCACGAATCCAAGAGCATATCCCTCTGACTCCGCAGAGGTCTGATAACACTTCTCCTGGAGCTCGGGGGGCCTCTGAACCAGAGCGGCGTCGGTCAATCCCATGCAACTCACACAGACATGACTCTCAACGCGGTTGCGCGGCAAGCTACACTGCCCGTCGCGATCCCCCCCCCCACCACCACGCGCACGCACGCGCGCGCGCGCCCTGCGATGCGCGACGCGAGAAGGGAAAGAAAAGCAGAAACGAGAAACACCTGAATCCATCCTCATCGACCCCCCCATTGCCCCTCATGATGCGACGAGGGATTGATGACGCTGCGGCAACAGAACTGACGGATGCAAACTCTCGTTCGTCATCGACCTCGCGCAACTGGACATGGCGCTCGCCGGTGTCTCCAGTGTGCGCTACCACTGCCGTCCTGGGCTTGCCCTTGCATTCAGGGCCCCCGGACGAGTGGCCTGTTGCGTGGAAGGCGTTGCATGTCGAGCGTTTCTCGATCTCCTGGGGCCGCTTCTCGCGATCTCCCAGGGGCCCGGGGAAGGCCCTCCCTTGCCGCCTCCCGTGGGCGACCAGGGCGTGCAGCGGCGGCCCTTGCCTCCGCTCTCTCCTCCGCCCTGGCCCCTCCCTTTGATGCCAAGGTGGGCGACCAAGACCTCTCTGATCTCTGTGATCGCGTTAGAGGCTTCTTCATCCGCGCCCGGCCTTCGCCATCTCGTTGACCACCTCGACGTCGACCTCGCCCCTATCCTCGACAGGGGCCCAGTGAGCATACAATGCCTCGTCGACGTAAGTGCATTCGTCGGCGCAATCGCCTCGGGCCGCGTCGTCCCAGCCGTAATCTGGCGCATAGCAAGACGCGTAGTACCCGTAGGGACTCAGCTCTTGAGGGCAATGCTCCTCCTGCTCGTACCATCCATCATCGGCAATGTAGAAGGCGTGTTGCGGCCTGAAGAAGCGCGCCTTGCCCTTGCCCTTGCCCCTGTTCAGGTAGCTAGGTGAGGGCTGCGTACACGTCGAAGAGCTGGAGCCTTTACCAGACTCACCCCTTGCCTTTTTTGACGGACGTGCATGCGGCCGCGCTGGAGGATCAAGACGTCCTTGATCTTGTCGACGGCCGTCACATTTCCAAGGGATGTCAACGCCATCAGATTCTCCGAAGGCGAGAGGCCTGCATGGTCCAAGAGAAGGGAACCAAACATATCGCCGCTCATCAAGATCTTAGGATCTAGCTTGGAGACAAGTTTCCACCAACGCTTCTCGCGGGAGATGTACGAGACCATAGACTCACCGCTCTGCCGAGACAGTGGTCCATACGGTATCTGCCCCACCTGGAACAGGATCTTCGCTTCCCGCGCCTCTATAGGAAAGAATGAAATACGAAATCGCCAGCACCAGCTGAGCGATCCAGTTCGGAATCAGAAGCACGTCCTTACCGATATCCATGGCAATATCGAATGCGTCACCTTTGAGGCCTTCTACAACCTTGTTGACAGCTGCGGCGATGACGTGTTGCTGTGGTGCACCCGTCTCTTGATCCACTCAGGCCAAGACGGCACTCATGCGCATCTCTGTAAGGAATTCCCACTCGTGAAAGTTGTTCACCATGCCGCCGTAGATGTAGGAGCCACTCTTCGTCTCGGACCGCGTCAGCGCGTTGGCGCTCGGCCACTAGCGAATAGAAGAAACTGCTATGGCGCAAGGCTGTCCCCTAGCGAGGAAAACTGCCAGCATAGAAAGTAAAGAGAGGTAGTGCTGCACTCTCTGACGAGACGTGCGCGCAGTGGTACGATACGGGGATCGTGTGGTAGCGCCGCTACCAGTGTGATTATGGTGCGTTTTAGCGCAATTGCACATAAAATGCCCCTAGAGGTCAAAAGGCGGAGAGTGGCGCATATACTGTAGTGACACATGCACAATCTCACACCTACCCTCAACGACCGACGCGTACTGATCGCATGCAGCCACGTCCCCCTCTGGGGGCATCGCCTCTGTCAGGGGTGCGCAATGGCCGAAACCGTACCCGGAAAAATCTGCCCGAGTGCAGCCGACAACGGCGCCCGTGGTTCCCCGAACGCGCCAGAGTGTGGCGCGAAACTCTTGGTTCGAAACCAAAACAATCGTCAGTTCGGTCACAACTACGGTCACACCACGTAAGACGAAACCAGGACAAAGATAAATCGAGTAAATATACACCGATGAATATGTGAGAACCGGCGGCTCTGGAGGATGTCTCGAACGCTGCGGCCTCCTGAGAGCGCCCAGGAACGCTCTGGGAGCGTTCTGGAACGCTCTGGTACGGAACATCCTCGTCCTGGCCCCGTCCGGCCACGCTCTCTGCCACAACCTCGGGCACGTCTTCGGTCACCCAGTTTTGTTAGTCCCCTACTCCGGATTCCATAATCAAGTATGGGGGGGTACATTTGGCGGGGGGGGTCTGATTTGAGCTGTCTTGAAGGGTTAGGGGGGGTCTCGGCAAAGTGCCGCCCTTTCATGGATGGTCTGGGGGGGTCTAAAACTTGTGGTCTGGGAGGGTTGTGACCCCCTCCTTTTTATTACGAAATCTGGAGTACCTTCTCGGCTGAGTAGGGTCCCGGCGCCACGACTCTCCCCCCAGGTCGATCGGGCGAGCGCTCCCAGGCCACTGGTGTCCGCCAAGATGGGGAGAGGTGCTGTGCGAGAGGCCGGCTTCCTCTCGGACAGGTCGGACGTGCGGGGGTGGGGGGAGGAGCGCGCGATCGGGATCAAGCGGGTGTCGGATCCACGAGGGGGCCGTCCCGCACCGAGTGCAGTCTTCCTTGTGCCGCGCTTCGTAGGCCACGGGAGACGGTACGCTCGCGCTTGGCCAGAGCAAGGAGGCAACGTCAACTAACGGTCCCTGTGATGCCGATGTGCGAACGCACTCTATGAATTGTGCAAACGACTGTGTACACAAGTGAGTGCCAGAAAGAACGAACAGGCAAGGCGAACGAGTCTGCACGCACACAAGAGAGAAGCATCCTCCACCAGGGCAGGGCACAGCGTTGCTCCCGCCATCGTTCCAGCCGCCGCCTCGGGGACAACACCGATAAGCCCAATCGGTACTCTCCCCCTTGTCCCGATCCTGGAAAGGCACCTTCTTCGGCTCCAACTGCATCCTTCACAGTGGGCCTTGCCTTGATCTGGGGCAAGGAGGAGGCTGATCGCTCGTGGTTCTCCTTCTCATCTGCGATCTCCTCCTCCAACTCCACATCCTCTTCATCTTCCTCATCCTTCCTTGCCCCCGCCTCCGTAAAAGAACTGACCCTCCCCACAAACAAAAACAAGACAGCTCGCCGCTTGGGCCCCACAGCCAGCCCAAACTGCGAGCATAAATCGGGCGTAGCCCCGCACGCATTCGAATGCCCACACTTCGTCCCCGTACTACTCCTATTACTCCCCGTCCTCCGCCCCATCCTGATCGTCGTCGTCCTCCTCCTCCTCGTCCTCGACCTCATCCTCCTCGTCTTCCTCGTCTTCCTCCTGCTCCAGCTCCTCCTCATCGTCCTCGTCGAGGACCTCGTCCTCGTTTCTCCTCTTCCTCCTCCTGCTCATCCACCTTGTCCTGGCACCTCGGCGGCCGAGAATGAAACCGCTTCCTATCGGTTGCGCCATAAGTTGCGCCCTCGGCGGCTGACAATAAAACCGTCTCCTATCGGTTACGCTATAAGTTGCGCCCTCGACGTCCGAGAATAAAACCGTCTCCTATCGGTTGCGCCGTAGGTTGCGCCCTCGGCGGCCGAGAGTAAAACCGTCTCCTACTGCGGCGACCGAGAATAAAGCCGTCTCCTATCGCTTGCGCCATAGGTTGCGCCCTCGGCGGCCGAGAGGAAAAGCCGTCTCCTGACGATTGCGCCACAGGTTGCGCCCTCGGCGGCCGAGAATAAAACCGTCTCCTATCGCTTGCGCCATAAGTTGCGCCCTCGGCGGCCTAGAGGAAAAGCCGTCTCCTGACGATTGCGCCACAGGTTGCGCCCTCGGCGGCCGAGAATAAAACCGTCTCCTATCGCTTGCGCCATAGGTTGCGCCCTCGGCGGCCTAGAATGAAACCGTCTCCCATCCGTTGCGCCATGAAGTGCGCCCTCGGCGGCCGAGAGTAAAACCGTCTCCTATCGCTTGCGCCATAAGTTGCGCCATCGGCGGCCTAGAATGAAACCGTCTCCCATCCGTTGCGCCATAAAGTGCGCCCTCGGCGGCCGAGAATAAAACCGTCTCCTATCGCTTGCGCCATAGGTTGCGCCCTCGGCGGCCTAGAATGAAACCGTCTCCCATCCGTTGCGCCAGAAGTTGCGCCCTCGGAGGCCGAGAGTAAAACCGTCTCCTATCGCTTGCGCCATAGGTTGCGCCCTCGGCGGCCAAGAGTAAAACCGTCTCCTATCGCGTGCGCCATAGGTTGCGCCCTCTTCGGCCGAAAATAAAACCGTCGCGTAACGAGTGCGACCAGTCTGTTCAGTTAAGTTCAGTCAGTCTACCTCGCGAGAAGCACGTTCGGGCTACGCCCGAAAACAAAACCTCCAGGAAAACACTGGGGTCCTCTCAAGCTAAATCGAGGCGATACAACCTCGTCGACCTTCTCCCTGTGCCTCCACATCTTTCTCCCCCTGCGTGCTCATCCATACACCAAACAAATCATTCTACAGCCCCTCGCCCACCTCCTCCCCCCGAACTCACCCTCCACCTCCCGCCCTCCCTCCTTCGTCACCCCTGGCATTGCCTCCGAAAGCAACAGAAACCTGCCGAAAAGGCACCGACAAATCGTCATCTTCCCTCCATCCTCCTCCTCCCCCTCCTCCATCAGACCTCCTTCCCCCATCCCTCCTCCTCCCCCTGATCCCTCCCTCCCTCTCCCTCCCTCTCCCTCCTCCCCACATTAGGAGCCCGTGATTAGGCCGGCCTGGCCAGGTTCAGGCTGGTCTAGCCTTACGTCGGGCATGTCCTCCTACAGGCGGAATTTGGAAACATAAATGCTAGTCAAAAGAGCGCGAAACATCGTCGCCTGACTGTTTGTACCATTCTTGAATATACCTCTTGTAGAATGACATGCCCGATTCAAGACTAGCCGGGTCCCCATCAACCCTTGAGGCCGCGAGTGGTCTGAAGAGTTCGCTCTGCCAAGCCCATTCTTCCCCCTCGGGGAAGGGATGCCCCCATCCCCCACGCAGAGCCTTTTGACCTCAATGTCAAGGCTTCCCACAGCAAATGGGATTATTCGCCGGCGTTTGATCCCACCCCGTACTCCTCTGACGCCAGGGTCCGCGATGTTTTTTTCTGGACCCGGAGGTCATGCGCCTTCCACGAGGAGAGTGGCCAGCGGGGCTTCGCGGCGCTCGAGTCTTCCCCCTCCCGCCTCCACCTGGGGTTTGGAAGGGGCGCCCTGCGAGGTGGTGTAGTGTCCTGGTTTGGCCCAAGATGGCTCCAACAAGGCTCTACACATCCCAAGATGGCCTCCAAGATCACTCACAATGTCCCAACATGGTTCAGGATAGCCGGCAACATGTCTCTAGGAGCCCTCACGACCGCCCGAGGACGGCTCCAAGTGCCGCCAGCAGGTAAAATTCCTTCAAAACCAATGTGGTATTCAATGTGGTGTGTCGTCTCGCCCTTTCGCTTCCGATGGCCTCTTGAAGCATCAAGATGGCTCCAAGATAGCCCAAGAGGGCCCCGAGGGGGTCCAAAAACGGCCCAAAGACGGCTCCAAAAAAGCGCCCCAGGAGTGCAACTTTCGGGCCCAGACGGGAGGGGCGTACTCGAGCACCCCCCCTTGCTTCGACTGGTGGCTTCCAAGATGGCCCCAAGAGGGTCCCCAAGGCCTACAAGAGTGCCCCATGAGAGCCCCAAGTGAGCCTCAAGAGGGCCCCAAAAGATCTTCAAGAGGGCCTCAGAGGCCACCCAAAGGTCCCTAACAGGGCCCCAAGGGGCCTCCAAGACGCGCCCAGAGCAGAAGATCTGCGACGGCCTTGATGGTTGACGCCTGTCGTCGTCGTCGGCGGCGGTGGCGGCGGTGGCGGCGTCGTTTGCGTCGTCGTCGGTGGTAATTAGTGGGGCAAACGCTTCCCACTGTTGCATTGGTTGAGTGGTTGCCTGTCGTCTTCCGCCTGCTCCTCGTCCTACTCCTACCCCTCCTCCATCCTATTTCCTCGTAAACAAATGGCACGCGTGGCATGGCTCTTCCACATAGCGGAGGGGGTGAGGAGGAGGAGGAGGTGGAGGAGACGGCGGAAGGGGAGAGGGAAACGGATGTTTAGCGCGCTCGGTGTGTTGGTCTCCACAGCGGCCAAAGGCCCAAAGAGGCCCCATGCCGTCACAAGAGGCCCCCACGAGGGCCGGAAAAGGACCCGGGACGGCCTGACAGGGTCCCAAGACAGGCCAAGAAGAACCGATGACGGCTCAAAAGTGCCTAACAGAGGTCCGCAAAATGGGCTTCAGATGGCGAGCTCGAGGAGGCTCCAGGGGCAGTCCCCCGCAAGATCGCCCACAAGATTTCTAACATGCTCCGCGGGGGCCTCCAAGAGGCACCGAAGAAGCTCACAGCTGGGAGTCTTCAAACGGGACTCTATAGCCTCCCCAGAGGCCTCGAAGGAGGGCCCCGAGAAACTTTGCAACAAACCCCGCTGCGGGATGCTCGCGATGCAGTGCCGTGCGCTACGGGCTTGTGCCCAGAAGTATGTTCAAGACTTTCCTTGCGCGCACAAAACCAGTCGGGTGTACAGTGGAGGCCAGTCCACAAGAAACCTGCCACAAGACACCCAACCCTGAGACCCCAGGACATCCATTGATTTTTGATGTGGGGAACGTCACGCTTTCCATTGCAAAAACCTCGAAACCCAACAAACCCAGGGCGCCCTGGAGGCCAGCAGGGTGTGTGTTTCTTGGCATGGGTCTCCAATGAATGTGAGCGGAATGGCGCAAGCCTCAGCAAAAAAAGGGGAGGGAGCAGAAGGCGTCAACAGAGGCGACGACGGCGACCGGGCTCCTCCTGCTCCTCCTCCTCCTCCTCCTCCTCCTCCTCCTCCTCCTCATCCTCTTGGAGTGCTCATATGGTCCAACTAGAGGTCCTCCTCCTCCTCCTCCTCCTCCGCTGTTGGATCTCCGCCTTCTCCACCCCAATCATGCTGCTTGCTACTCCTTCTCCCCACGACGCCGGAATTCCGCCAGTGCACAAGGGGGTGAGAAAAATACAAGTCACCCCTCGAGTGCTTTGCTCCGATACCGTCCGACCGACCATGGTTTGCACCCTCGGAGTGGCACCATCCAAATATAACCGGTTCTGGCGAAGAGCCGGCACCGTCAGAGCGGGGTGCGCCATCCAAGCTTGAATTATGTCGCTAACGGCGCACGCTCGCTCAGAGCCGCAGGGAGCAAGGGAGGAGTACTGAGCTGCAGGCGCTTAGCGAAAGTCCGTAACATGAAACACGATACCGGATATCGGGCCTCATCCGATGGATCGGCTCAAGATGGCTCATCAACTACCTTCTGCTTCTTACCGTCGTCCTCCTCCTTCTACTCCTGGTGCTCCTCCTCCTCCAGGGCTGCTCGTATACCTCGTGCTGCTCCTCCTCCTCCTGGGCCTCCTCCCTCTTCCCTACTCCTCCTCCCTGAGTCACATGTACAAGTACTCCTGGCACTCTTTGGAGGCGACATGCCATTCGAGGACCCTCTCAGATGGCCGTGTGCAGTTACAGGTTTAACGGAATGGGCCTCCCCCTGGGCACGCAGAGTCGGCACGGATATGGGGGAGGCGATGCGCGCCTGCCCCGACGCAGAGGAGCTTCTCTCGAGAGTGTCGGAGTCCCCCTGGTTGCTTTTCGAAGATGAGGAGGTGATGATGGACCTTCAGAAGGTGGATTTCACTAGGGTACGAAGTAGGACGCACACATACGAGGTCCCTCCGTGGTATCATAACGACGACCTTCCAGGTCCCCAAGGAGGAAGTCAAGATGAGGAGGAGGAGGGGCTACCTTACGTTTGCAACTTGGAGGTGGAGGACGGGGAGGGCCACAAACAGGGATGTGGGTGTCGGTTTGCAACGCAAAAAGGATATATGGAACATCTTAGACATAGACATAAAGTACGAAACCTCAGCCACGTCCTGACCACGTCGAACGAGTGCCCCGTTTGCTTGCAGGTCTTCAGAAATCGCACTATGGCGGCTCGTCACTTGCAGGCGGCGCTCGCTCGAGGGTATTGCGGCAACTATGCGCCCCGAAGTATGGTCCCCCTGGTTGAGTCGAGCTCTTACAGCTGCCAGATATGCGAGTTTCAGGGCCGAAGCCACGAGGATCTACGTAGCCATATTCGGGCTCACCTTCCATGGCCAGTCGCGGCACTGCGACCTGACTCACACGCTCGATCTACGCAGACACCTCGGCCCTCCTCTTCCCGAGCTGCGGATGGCGGCGGCCGCGGCCGCGGAGCAGCCCTCGGACATCGCAATGCCCTCTTTCATGAAACGTGCTGGTGCGGACCTATCATCGGTGGAGAAGGTACGCAAGACAGCGGACGGGGGCGGCGGGGGCGGACCACCAGGCGGTGGAGGGGGTGGCGGCAGTGGTGGCGGGGACGGCGGCAGGGACTTGAGGCAGACGGTGCGCAAGATGGCTCGGCTCACCCTCTCGCACGCGCGACAGTTGGCCTTTCTCGAGGCGGCGGTCTACCTGTCGTTCATGCTGCCAGAGAAGAGCGACGACGACCTCGGCTCGGCCATGAAGGCCCAGGGCGTCGTGTACGACAACGAGAGCAAGGCGCTCAAGGAACAGCAGAAGGCCGGCCAGAGCGTGGACTTCAAGCTCCGCGGGCCCCCGCACGTCCACCTGTTCATCGCCCTGCTCAGGAAGATTCTGAGTTTGACGGCAGGGGGAGGCCACCTCGAGGACAAGAAGACGTACACAATCATCCGAGAATTCTGGGAGTCCACGATCCTCGTCAAAGAGGTGAGCCAGATTGCAGAGTTGATCCTTCATTGTCGGTACAAGAAGGCCAGGAGCGACGCAGAGGAGAAGTTCGGGGTGATCTGCATGGCGATCGAGAGACGATCGGCGGAGATGGTGATAGTATTCGAGGCGGTGTGCTCGTTCATGGTCCTGAAGGGCGGAGCCAAGAAGCTGACGGGGCCAGCGCCGCGCGGGCCCCTCGAGAGGGACCTGGGGAACTTTGTAGGGGCCAAGGGCGGGGGCAAGGGCCAGCAGTGAGTCCTTTCGTAGGCAGCCAGCGATTGATTGAGTTGATTGCCAGAGGTGCTGTGCCCAGTGACATCCTCTCACGTCGTGAGGGGCGAAATTGGACCAAGCAGCGGGACACCGCAGCGGCGCAACAGGAGACTGTTGCTACAGCAGCCGCCCCGCCTACCGTCGCTCCCGGCCAGGAGACTGAACAGAGTGGGCAGGCTGTCTCGCACACGTATGCCTCGTCATCTTTGCCCCCCATCCCTGTTGTCATTCTCCCCTCCTCTATGCCGAAAGGGAAGGGTAGGGGCCGAGGCAGGCGTACAGACACTGCTGCCCCTGCCGACGCAGCTGGAGGCCCCGCGGCTGCCGCGGCTGTTGGCCGTGCAGGCCGTGGACGCGGCTGGAGGGCCCGCGATCGCAGGGAGGGTGGGGTTGTGCGGACGGGGTCGGAGGCGGGTGCGGGGAGGGAGGACGATCAGTCAGTCGGTCCCCGATGAGTGGCACCCGACCCTCCAGGCTGCGCGCCATCGGAGGGGGGCCGCCACTCGGGGCTGCGCGGCTGTGTGGCCGACTGGCCATAGGTCGCATTCATATCATACAGGCGACAGTCGGTTAAATTCCGACGCTCAGAGGCAATCCAGTTGTTTGGACGAACTTGATGGCCCTCCCAGAGCTTTCTATTCTATTCTATTCTCTCCTCCTCCTCGTCCTCCTCCTTCTTCTCCTCCTCCTCATCCTCCTCCTCCTCGCCCTCCTCCTCCTCCTCCTCCTCCGCCTCCGCCTCCTCCTCTTCATCCTGCTCATCCTTCTCCTTCTCCTTCTCCTCCTCCTCCTCCTCATCATCATCATCATCATCATCATCAACAGCATTATCATCAGCATCATCATAATCAACATCATCATCAGCATCAGCATCATCATCATCATCATCATCATCAGCATCATCATCATCATCAGCATCATCATCATCATCATCATCATCATCATCAGCATCAGCATCATCATCATCAGCAGCAGCAGCATCCTCATCATCATAATCAGCAGCAGCATCATCAGCATCATCTTCATCACAGTCACCATCACCATCATCATCATCATCATCATCATCATCGTCATCATCATCATCATCACAATCATCATCATCACCAGAATCATCATCATCATCATCATCATCATCAGCATCAGCATCAGCATCATCATCATCCCTCCACCCCTCGCTCCCTCCTCCCTCGTCCTCTTCTTCCCTCCTGCCCCATCCTCCTGCTCCTCATCCTCCTCCTGCTCCTCCTCCTCTTCATCCTCCTCTTCCTCATCCTCCTCCTACTCCTTCCTCCCTCATCCCTCCTACCTCCTCCCTCGTCCTTTCTCCTTCTCTTTCCTCCCGTCTTCCCTCCTCCCTGCATCCTTCCTCCTCCCCCTCCTCCTCCTCCTGAAACCTCTAGGGGTCCCAAGAGGGCCACAAGACAGCCCCAAGTGCTCTCGGATTGTTCCTCTTGCATCTGAGCGGATGGAGGGTGTTAGGAGGCAACTCTGAAGGGCCCTCGTCAGAAGGATAGAGGGCGATCAAGCCCGAATCAAGAACAAGTGAGCCAAATAGGCCAGATTAAACCCAGAACTAAGCCGAATCAGACAGGTCTCAACCGAATTGTCAGCGGGATTCAACCAGAGTAACCGGACATGCAAGTTTTCGACCTGGGATGCACCAGCGCCGATTCTGAATAGCACCTCCCAGAAATTGCATCCTGCGGGGTGGATAGTTTCACAATGTGACTCTCGCCTCAGCGGCGAGCACGTTAATGTGACCAGTTCTCCCACCGCTAGACAGGCGGATGAAGGCGGTATCCTGTCACACTGGGGGTTTCGCGAGAGACCTCCTCACAATGTTCGACAGTAAACGAACGGTCGCGCATGAATGTTCGCACAATGCGTCACCATCTGATCAGATTGAAGGGCTGGAGGTCTGAAAGTATGCCACCGCCTCACATATAGAAAACAACTCCTTTCCAACACGGGGATCTCGCCGAACACGCCAATGGGTTAGCGGGCGAAGAACGGTATAAACTAAACTTTTTCGCTGTCGGGGGCGCCTGTCCCAGGGCGGCTGGAAAGTTTATACCCTTACGGTGGCCCCGTAGGGGAATAAACTTTCCAGCCGCCCTGGGACAGGCGCCCCCGACAGCGAAAAAGTTTAGTTTATACCGTTCTTCGCTCGCTGAATGGGGAAGGCCCCACCTCCTCAAGACGGGCGGCAAAGACAGCCAAGGTCTCCTCATGGAGAGGGGGGGGGGAGAGGGGGGGGAGGGGTTCGGGGGCCCGTGCCGATCGGCAGCACCATGAATAAGAGAACTAACGACCTTACACGTCATGCTTACTTGTAAGTCGGGCACGTCCCCCCTACAGAAGGACTAGATTCCCAACATAGTCAAAATATAGTCTGGGGACGATGTTTCGATTAGTTCTGTTGACTTGGTTGGCGCATGTTGTTGGGTATGTTTTATTGTTCCTCCCAATCCTGCCTGTAGGGGGACATGCCCGACCTGAGCGCACCTGCGCATCGGTGCGCCGTCGTGCTGGAAAGGTGGAGAGAGCGGCTCTCTCTCTCTCTCTCTCTCTCTCGAGAGAGAGAGAGAGAGAGAGAGAGAGAGAAAAAGAGAGAGAGAGAGGGAGAGTGCTCTCCCTCCCGCCCGCGCGGCAAGCCCACAAGGTGACCGCCCAAGTGCGGCCCCTCTCCGCTTCCCCTCGTCCGCTTCCCCCCCGGTCCTCCTGCCCATTCCGCTCCTGCCCCTCCAGTTCCGCTGCTGCTGTTCGTTCTCGTCTTCCATCTTCCTCATGCTCCTCCTTTTTCTGCGGTTTCTCATCATCCTGCTCATCCACTACCTCCTCTTCCCACTCAGACCCCTCCTGCTATGTACGCAACTCTCCCTTTCCCGATTGCGCAGAAAACGATGAGATCTTTGGGGGAGTTCTGGGCCCGCTATGACACGCGTCCGCTGGCAAATAACCTATCGGCCCAGTCGGTGGGAAGGGATAGCTGGGAGGGGCAGGATATTAGATCCGACGCCAGCGCACCAGCGCCAGCGCACCTAGCTTGCCCCTTCTCACCCTCTCCCCCCCCTCCCTCCTGCTCCTCGCTGCCTCTGGGAGGGGGGGTGAGGGAGGGGGAGAAGGGAAGGGGGGAGGAGGAGGCAGCGGGAGGAGGAGGAGGAGGCAGCGGGAGGAGGAGGAGGAGGAGGAGGAGGCAGCAGCAGGAGTAGGAGGCAGCGGGAGGAGGAGGAGGAGGAGGAGGAAGAGGAGGAAGAGGAGGAGCAGGAGGAGGAGGGAGGAGGACGGAGGCGGAGGAGGCAGCAGGAGGAGGAGGTAGGAGGCATAGGAGGCAGCGGGAGAAGGAGGAGGAGGAGGAGGAGGAGGAGAAGGAGGAGGAGGGGACTCAGAGGTCTTCGGTGGTCTGCGGCAGTCCCCGCCCCCCCGCGGCAGCAGTCGAGGCTCGCGGCCTCCTCCGCCCCTGGACCTGCCCTTGCCGGACTTCCTGTGCTCCGTCTGCCAGCGCTGCTGCAGGATCTCCTCGCTCTCGGGACTCATCTCACACCTGGAGCGCACGTGCGAGCGGCTCCGAGAGCAGACGCCACACGTGCGATCGAAAGGAGGGAGACCGGCCACTCAAAGGGCTGAAGATTGGCAAGCCCGCCGAAGGGGAGGCAAGGGAGCATGAAGATCCCATCCCTCTGCTCTGCTTCAGCCAACACCTTCTGGCGCATGTCAAAGATGTGATCAGGGTGAGCGCGAGACGCAAGGGACCCCACTTGCACCCCTCGGTTCCAGGCAACGGTGTTGTCTAGGTCGCGCTGTTTAGCATCATCGTAGCGTTTTTTGGGTGCCCATCCCTGTGCTCCCCCCGATTTCTGATTTCGCCTGTACTCTAGGGGATTCCCAACCCTGGGAACGTGCACAGACGAGGAGAGCGAGGAACAACGCGGCGGGAACGCGGCAGCGGGACCCCAGAGGCACGCCGAACTAGCGTGCAACCACTGCCTACGGTAGAGATGGCTCCAAAATGGCAAACTGGTCTGCCCGTGAATCTCCAACAAATCGCTCCGCGAACTTAGAATCTCCAACACATCACTCCGCTCAAAATAACATCCCAAACACGTTGCCGCAAACCCACCAAAACGAAAAATAATCCGACTTTAAAATTTCAAACGGAAGAATTTCGAGATGTTCGAATGTTCTCCGGAGATGCCCCATATATACATATATACACATATCCATATATTGGATGTTCAATCGAAAATCCGGCAATGTTCCCAGAGACGTCTGCCCCGCGGAAATGTTCCATATATTACCCTAGGTATCTTGTCGAGAGCATGGAAACTATTCTGAGAATTGGAGATACAACTGCACGCCCATGCGGAGGCGGACGCACCAGCGCCGCCGAACAGGATGGGATGACACGTGGGCAGGAGAGGCGACGATACAGGCGTAGCCTTGCGAAGCACAAAGCGCGGCGGCTCCTCAGGTCGTCGACGCCGTGCGCGAAGGTGCACTCGTCGCCCTTTTTGCAGCAGTCCCATGCCCAGAATATGCAGAGCTGGTTCTTCCACGCCCTGCGCGAGACATCGCTTTGTCCAACGCTCATGAAGGGGTGGAGGAAGCAACTACGCGCCGTGTGCGACTAGCAAGACCAAAGACGCAGAGTGGAGTACAGCGGAGGTCAGTCAACAAGAAACCTTCCACAGGAAACCCAACCCTGGGACCCCAGGGCGTCCATTGATCTTTGGTGTGGGAACGTCACGCTCTTCATAGCAAAACAATCGAAAACCAAGAGACCCAGGTAGAGGCCTCCTAGATGGGGTCCGAGCGGATGGGGTCGGAGGATCTCGCCGCATCGCCGATGCATCGGCGATGTATCGGCGATGCATCGGCGATGCATCGGCGATGCACTGGCGATGCATCGCCGACGTGGGCGATGCATCGGCGACGTCAACGTGAAGCAAATCGGGCCCCACATCGAGCAGCATCGGCAATGCATCGGCGATGCGGCGCGATCCTCCGACCCCATCTACTCCGACTTCATCTAGGAGGTCTAGACCAGGGCTCTGGAGGCAAGCAGGGTGTGTCTTGGCACGGCTCTCCACCGTAGGCTCCTCCTATCGCTCTGTCCAGTACACCCGCGGCAAAAGCTGCACCTCCTGCGCCCGCGGCTGTGGGATATGGCTCCGCTGCGCGAGGACATCGGGGAAGTCCTGGGAAGCCTCCAGAATCAGAGAGGGCCCGCGGACAGTCCGCGGGAAGCCTGCAAAACGGCCCAGGAAATCTGGTGCGGGCAATACCTAAATCAATACCCACTGCGCCCCGGCTGTTCGGACTCCCCTCCCTGGAAGCCCGAAGCGCCGTGGAGACAGGGATGAGATGCGACAGATGCGATCCGGATCCACTGCGCCTCGAGTCTCTGGCATCCCCTCCCCAGAAGTCCAAAACGCCGTGGAGGAGGAGGAGGAGGAGGAGGAGGAGGAGGAGGAGGAGGAGGAGGCAGAGGAGGAGGAGGAGGAGGAGGAGGAGGAGGGGGAGGAGGAGGAGGAGGAGGGGGAGGAGAAGGATGAGGAGGAGGAGGAGGAGGCGGAGGAGGAGGCGGAGAAGGAGGAGGATAAGATAAGATAAGACACACTTGCGACCCATGTCCTTGTGACCTCTCTACACAGTGCAAAAAGAGAAGAGCGGCCTCGTACTGCAAGGGGATCTGCGTCCGCTGTCTATCAGACATCGGTGATCGGTCGCTCTGCAGGGGGATTCCACTGGCCACATGCGGGGACCCCTGATGGGAGAGACCTTGGGGCCCCGCCGAGGCACCATCTGTCCTGCAAAGCACTGAGAGGCGACGAGTAAACCCCTCAAGAAGTCAATGAAGCAATGCAATCAACATGTATGTGTATGAAGCGAGGCGGCACCGAGGGGCTCAGATAGGAAAATGAACTCCACACCCGAAAGTCCCCAACAGTCCACCTCATGACTGGGAGCTGGAGATCCTATCATCATCGCCACCATGCTGCAACGCTGTACTGATGAGTCTATCCTGGGCGCGGTCACCCGCAGAAACAACAGTAGCCGTCGAGCCGCGTAGCGGCATGGCGCGAAGACTGGCAGCACGAGTCGTCATATCTTCTAGAGAGATCTGGAACTGGAGAGGGGGGGTGTAAAAGGCCATGAAGGTGCTACCAGAGGGAGAGGTATACTGAAGGATGGGATGGGTCGAGCGAGCCTGCAGTGCCCTCAGTCCTGCATCCTGAAGCTGCCCGTCCTGTGCCATGCGAAGCATGCGCTCTGAGCCCGCGATGTGCGTGAGCCTGGCACCTAGCCCACCAGTTCGTCGTCGTTGCTCATGTCCTCGTCGTCCGCTTTGTTCATGCCCATCCTGCCGAGAAGCTTGAGTGCCTCCCTCTCGAGGCCGCCCTTGGGAGGACCCCCTGGTTTGTACCTGCCGCCGATCTTGAAGAGGGCCTCGCACACCGCCTGATGCACCGTGCCCACGGGCGTCGAGTCGAAGGAGATCTGACTGGTCTGCAACTGCGCACTCAGCATGAACTGGAGCTTGTAGTGTGTCGGCCTCTCCTGCCTGCGCTTGTTGTAGTACGTGGGCCGCATTCTGCAGTACCGTATCTGGTCCTGAAGCTGGTGAAGCGAGCTCTTGTCTCCTGCGATGTTGGCATCCCAGTACACCTTCAGGGCCTTCTTGGACGTTTCGGGAGTCTCTGGATGCTCGAGAAGCGCCGTCAACAGCGCCAGCCACATGTGAGTCCATGGTGGGCCGTATGGGTGGTCGCGCCCAGCCTCCCTGCAGTTCTCGTAGCACTGCTTCCCCGCTGCGAGGATTGCCAAGACTACTGGATGAGCGGCGGCGAGGATGAAACAGCTGTAGCAAGCGCCAATGAGGTCGGCCATGTCCCTGCTGTTGTTGAGGCACAACTTGGTGAGAACTTTTACCTGTGCTTTGAGAGGTCCGAGGGAGAGACGCTGCATCGTGTCTTCCGTGGCTTGCTTGAGCTCCTTGAGGCGTCGAGGGCTCTTGGGTCCTCGCTCTCCGGCTGCTTCCCCTTCTGCCGGTCGCGCTTTGGGTTTGCTGACTGTCGGGAGCCCCCAACTGGGAGCCTTGGGCTTCCACTCCTCGCCGCTGGCCGCCGCCGCTGCTGCTGCCCCCTCGGGCATCACGCACGTCGTGTACGATAGGAAGAACAGTGAAGTGCTCACGAAAGTGTTGATGAAGACAAGCTCGATCGAGCCGATATGTGGGACAGAGCGGACACGAGTAAGTGACGTGGTCATCTTGGCCTGCGGCCCTGAACGTGTTCGACCTGCCCTGGATGCAAATCCCCGTCCTGAACGAGTCCTTGATGCGTTTATAAGCTGAGTTTCTGGACTCGAAAATCTGCCCACAAATAAAACACTGATTATCAATAGTGAGCAATCCCAGAATATTTAATAACCCATGATGTTGATGTAGATGGCTAGTAAGCTGTCTTCTAGTACCGAAACTTTTACCACAGCCTCTAATACAGCATCGATAATCATCACCATCTCGGTGTTCTGGGGGATCAGGTTCTTGGGGATCTGGCCTGGCCTGGTATCCAGGGGGGGGAACACACACTGTGTATGTGGCCGCTCTCAGCTCGGCGATGTCGATTCTTCCGAACCAGTTCGAAAGCTCAGGGTCATCAAATAGCTGAAGGGGGCGACGGTCCCAGTGCTCGATTTTTTTCAGCATGTCCCCCCCCCCCCCCCCCCCAGCTGACTCAGACTCTGTACGTCCTCGACAAATCGGTGAGCCCATGGTGACGCATGTCCTGTGAGGTGCCCATGTTCATCAATGATCTGGAGACCTCGCTCACGTTCAACCTTGATGGCAAAGAAGAGAGCCCCCCAGTCAGCGGCATGATAGTGGGGTTCACGTATCCATTTCTGATACCACTTTAGACGGCGGACTCGGAGCTCAACTTCTAATGGGGCTACTCGCCAGAGCTGCAGCACGCGTTGGGATGTGATCGACCTGCGGTGTCCATTGTGCCACTCAGTAGCAGCACCTCGAAGAGCCCGTCTGCCATAATCAACAACTCGAGTCTGTATTCTGGCTAGCTGAGTAGCAGAAGGAAGGAATGCTTCAAGAGCTGAGACTGCTGGTCCAACTACTCGACTCAAAAACATGGCCCTCTTCTCTACATAAGGGATGCGGGGCTGGTACCAGTACCGCCCCATAGACCAATATCCTGCAGAAATCGCCGAGAGTCGAGCTTCGAGTTCACTGCTGAATTTGCTGTCATACCGAACGAGCGAACCGAGATATTTACCCACATCATTAGGTACCCCCGCCATAGGTAGGCCTCCAGACTTTATACTAGCTTTGCGGGCTTGTTGCCCAGGTCCCTGGAAGGAGATAACGCTTTCGTTCTTGGTGGGGTTGAGGCGGTAATTGCGACGAGCCAGACAATCTGCCAGGATAGCATCATACAAGAGAGATTGACGACTGAGAGAGATGGCCCCATTCTCCGACGGGTGCGCAACCAGCTTACGCAGAGCATCATCTACATAACTATGAAGTGACAGATCAATTTCTAGTACCTCTTGTCCCTCTGGGTGAAGCTCGATCGTACACCAATCAGCCGTGGGCTCCCCCGACTCGACATATTCAGCTTGCGCCTCCTCAAAGCAGTCTCCGATGTCCCGAACAAAAACCTTGACGGCCCAGGGGTCTCCTTGTAGTGCACCCACCCACGGTTTGGCAAATCGATACCCATCCACTCCGCGAAAACAGACCGCCGAAAACTTGAACCCCTGCTCCCCATAGTAGTGCTCCCCCTCCCTCATGACCTCCTTGTTGGCTTTTTCTAAGGCATCCCAGCTACTGGACCCAAAGGCGTTGCTGATATCCTTATGGTCGTTCACAAACTCAAGCCCTAACTGCCGTAACCTCCATCCAAGAGCTTGCTGGGCGAGTAAAGGGGTCTCTCGACGACGACGAGCGATGCATCCATGGGAGGAGAGGGGCTCTTCATCTTTCTGGGCTGGGTCAATGCACGCGGCGATGAATGCCTTGCCGAATGGGCAAAGAACGTGAACCACGCGCTTCCAAGACAGTGCAGCAGCTTGCGAGAGGTGCCAGACCAGTGGGACCTGCCGAGAACGTCGAATCTTATGCATGAGTGAGACCAGAAAACCTCGTACAACCTTGAGCTCGATGTTGGGCGCCTCGTACCCAACGCCTCGAAACCGCTTGGACGTGCGCTTATATGGGAAGAAGATCATCCAAAAGACTTCCATGGGGACCGACCATTCTGGAACAGCTCTCCGACGCCCAGACTTCTGCAAATACTTGCGAATCTGCCGCAGCTTTTCCTTGGCCCACTTAAGGCCCTCCTCAGTGTACTGCCCAGGGAAAAAACTGGCCTCCTGCCCATCGGTGGGGTGATAGAGGTAGTCATTAGCATAGGTAACCCAGTCAATTGGTTCAGCCTGCATTCCTCCCTGAGCGGACGGGAGTGACCATCTATCTTGCAGCTCCTGGCTGGTAGGAAGGGCAGAGGGAGGACGCCTATAGTTCCTTTTTTTTTTGGCCCGTCCCACGAGCCGAGAGCAGGCGCGATAGCCTGGCAACCTCTGCCTGCCTGCCTAGCTTGAGCGCTTTATGGAGGTCATCTGTGATGTCCTGTCTCCACTGATGCAGATACTGCCGACGGAGAGATCTGAGCTGCCTAGACTTGATGCGGATCTCCTCTGCAATCGAGAGGACGGCCTCAGAAGGGATATCAGTAGCCAGCTCTAGACGAAGCCTACGCCGTTGCTGGAGCCGGTCCAGGATGTGCTGCGCTCGCTGAGGGTAGTCTGGAGACCTCTGAACGGTGCCTGCGAAAAACCTCTCTGCCGTGTCCCTGAGCACCCTGATGAAAACCCCCCATTCAGCATTGGGCGGTTGCTCCTCCCTCCTCCGTCGCTGCCACTCCTCCTGCTCATCGATCATATTAGCCCCCAAGGCCTGCAAAAACTCGGCTCTCTGGGTACCCATGCGCAGGCAGTCCATCAACGCCTCTTTGTTCCAGCGAACATGCCTAGGTACAAATCCCACTCTCTCATCTGCCTGGAGTCCCGTAGCCTCTGAACCTGTAGTAGCAGCTAAGTCATACGAGAACCTGAGATGGAGGGGGATATGATCTCGGTGATCCCTATGGCGGATGAGTTGAAACTTTCGAGCGAGACGTCGAAGCGGGCCTGCTGAGGTCACCTGGTCCAGGGAACATCTGGGAATGAACACATAGTCGAGCATCGAAGTATCACCTGATGGGCCGTAATAGGTGGGTCCAGCTCCTAAGTGCAGGTTGACAGGGACAAAATCCAAAGCCTGAAGGATCTCTAACATCACATCGGCCGCGTAGCGTTGCCGAACAGGTTCTACTACCGATCCGAGGCGATTATCTTGCACTGCAGTCCAGTCTTCACTACCGTGTAGCCTCTGAAGCCCAAATCCAGAGTTTAAGTCCATGGCCAGAATGGGAAAACAGCGCGAAACCGCCAGGAAGGGCAGCCCTCGGATCCAGTTGCCTATCTGATCGCAGGTTTTTCGATAACCAGCCATCTCAGAAGCTCGCTGAGGAGGGGGAGGGAAGTAAACACTGGCAACCCCTAGGTCATACTGGCTGCATCGGGCCCTGAGCGCGACCCCTCTCCCAGCGATGTGGGGAGGGGCAGCCCACGTGTGGGTGACAGTGCCACGGCGCATCCGCGGCCCCAACACGATGGTGCAGCCCGAGTTTTTGTTGCTACCTGGGGAGCGCGCCCACCCTGCTTCCACCGCCCATCGCTTCCCTGCTCTCCTCCACACCACCTCCTCCGTGCCGTGCTTTCGAGCCCCAGTCCCCGTAAGGCATACAAAGTCGAAGCCCGTCGTAGTCTGAGCTATGTCCTGCAGACGGTCGTACGAGCTCGCCGACAACGGATTGTATTGCAACACCGAAACTCCTTGAAGCCTGCTCATGATAACGCTGCTGATGGCCAGCAGCGACCGCGAGTACAATTTCACCCAAGACGATTCAAACATCAAGGGAAGGACATCGGGGCTGTGGAGCCGAGGAAAAGCCCGAAAGGAGTGTGGGCAGGGGTAGTTTATGAACTTCGTTAGCGGGTGTGCCCCCCCGCTGCGCAAAGGGGCTTAGAAGGAGGAGGAGGAGGAGGAGGAGGAGGAGGATCGTCTGCACCAGGAGGCCGAGGGAACGTCCACGGCCGGAGCAGAAGATCCTGCGGCAACGGAAGCTTGAATGGAGGAAGCCCGCCGCTGCCCTCCGACCACCCGCCCCGGCAAACCTTGGTCGGGGCAGTCCCTCTATTAGGTACACGTAGGAGCCGCACACAAACATACACACGCGTCCATATTTCTATATATGTATATATACATATACATACACATATATATATATGTGCATCACCACATATATAATGTGAATGCGAAAGCAATATCTGCTCTCTAGGGTGTGAGGTCCTTCGCTCGACACAGAGCGCGCGTAGTGTGATCAACGCCTCACGCTCAGTAGCCCATCCCTGACACTGTCCACTGTTCTGTGCGGGTTGGCGGCTGCACCCATTGTTCCTGGCGGCGTCGCGGCCACGCGCGCGGCGCCGCGCAGGTCAACTCGGGCGGGAGCGCGCCGGCCGGGCCCACTCACGCAGCACAGAGAGAAGCGGGATCCACCCACAGGGGATCGAAAACAACACTCGCAGGTGGCGGCCCCTGCCTCCTCCTCCTCCTCCTCCTCCTCCTCCGCCTCCTCCTCCTCATTCTCCCTCCTCCGCCTCCCTCCTCCTCCTCCTCCTCCTCCTCCTCCTCCTCCTCCTGCTCCTCTTCCTCCTTATCCTCTTCCTCCTCCTCCGCCTCCTCCTCACCTCCTCCTCCTCGACCTCCTCGGCCCGATCTCCTCCTCTTCTTCCTCCCCCTCCTCACCTGGACACCCAGCATGGTTCCCCTGGCCCCGATCGGGATCTGTACTCACTGTGTCCTCATCCGAGAGATCGCCTCTTGACGGCCCTTGAGCCCGGAGAGGGCCCATCTCGAGGCCGAGGTGGTGAAAACACTGGCCATCCACATCCCCGGTCAAATTCAGACCACACCGCGCAATGTCTGGCTCACGCGTGCCCAGAGCGCCGCGGGCCTGTCCAACTGCTGGGGCCTGACCACAGAACATTCATTCGTATTCCTTTTGAGGTCTGACCTTCTCCCAGCTGAGGGGTAACGATAGAGGGAACTGGCTCCGTGGGGGGAGCATCGACCTGAAATCGGGGGTACATCGCCGACAGCGCGGCGAGAGGCCTCCGACAGCGACACCGCGCATTCACGGGCGGGCTCGAGCTTCCAGGCCCCTGTCAGCGATCAGTTGGCGACTTGGGGTCGATGTGTCCCCCCCCACCCAGAGCCTATTGTCCCCCTGTCGTTGCCCCCGACTGAAGGAGCCGAACTTTTTACACCGATGCTTCCTCTGGTCCCGCAGTGAAATTCGCACAGGAAAGCGGATCCTGGTGTATACCAAATCCTGGTCTGTGCATGCTTCGGCGCTTCCCCCGGAAAACGGGGCAAAAATATACACCACACAACTCCGACAACGTCCCCGGCCCTGAAAAAAGTCCTGGCATGGCAGAACAGCCCGCCACTGATAATGTAGATGTTCCAATGTCCGACTACTCTCCCCCTGTCGTTGCCCCCGCCTATCTATCTCCCCTGGCCACCCTCGCCGCTTACCCGTGCGCCCCCAAATTCACGACACTTGCGCCCCGGGGCCGGGATCGGAAACCGTGGCCCCTCGAAAACCGCTCTCGCGGGCATCCCTGCGGGAGGCGGCCACGATCGCCGCGGGATGCCACGGCACAATCGCCACGACGTCGTTGCGTTGCATCTTTGGGAGGCCTTGCCTGTCCCGTCGCGCCCCTATCCGCTTCGAATCCGTGTCGAATCCGTGTCAAATCCATGTCGCACTCGTCGAATCCGCGTCGAATTCACGCCGAATCGCGTCGAATCCACGCCAAACCCGCGTTGATTCCGCATCGAACCCGGTCCGTGAACAAGCAAAGACACAATTTTTTTGGACAGACGAGGTCCCCCGAAGATGCAACGTAAACGACGGCCCGAGGAGGCTTCAGACAGCTGGATGCATCACAGACGGCCAGGATCACCGCAGAAGGCATACCTGAGGCGAGACAGCCACGATCGCCGCTTGAGACGACGGGATGCCCGAGAAGGCTTCAGACAGCATCATCGAATGTGGTTGCGTACCCGTTCTCGTTGGGGACACCTGGAGGGCGCAACGGAAGCCGTCCCAGTCTGGCGAGTGCAACCCCCAGCCTGAACAACAGTGAGGCATGACACGATCGGTCTTGGTATCATAGGGCGCTCGGAGGAAAACTCAGCGGGCATCAGCTACGCCAGCAGCAGAGACTGAAAGAACGAAAGCGCGCAGCTTCTCCTCTGCGGATCTCCTCCTCATCATCATCCTCCTGAACCTCATCGTCTCCGTCCACCTCATCCTCTTTCTCCTTCCTCCTCCTCCTCCTCCTCCTCCTCCTCCTCCTCCACCTCCCCCTCCTCCGTCATCCTCCTTCTCCTACTCCTCCTCCTCCTCCTCCTCCCCCACCTTCTAATTCGCTGTGTTGGTCCCCACCTTCCCCCCTCCTGCCCGTCATCCCACCTCGACAGCGACGACGACCCGTGCTGACCCCACGCCCCAGACGGGCTCCGGCCCTCCAGAGGCCTCTGGGGCCCAGCAGGCAGCAGAGGCGCTCAAACACCTTAGGAGGCACCTGCGGGGAGGCCTTCGTCAGAAGGACTGCGGAGGAGGAGTAGGCCCCAGTGGGGGGCCGTTACGCGCCGAGTGGGCCTCTGATAGGGGGCCACATGCGAACCCCACCCCTACCTCCCACGGTTTCTGAACGGGAGGGTGGGGTTCACGTCGCTCGGGAGCTCCCCGAACGAAGTGAACCCCACCCTACCCCTCAGAAATCGTGGGGGGTAGGGGTAGGGTTCGCATGTAGCCCCTATCTGAGTAAGCTGGCTGAAGCTGGATTAAGCGGGACTAGGCGGGATTGAGCCAAATTGTAAGCGGGATGAAGCCGGATTTCGGCCCAGGACAAACATCAGAATTTGACCTCCCAGGAGATGCAGACGAAAAGCCCCCCTCCTCGAGACCCCCCCCCCCGCGAAAGACAATGCCTTCCGCACTCCGGGGTGCTGTTCAAGTTCGTGGGCTTCTCCGCACCCGGCTCGTGCGAGTTCGGGCACCTCTCGGCCGAGAATCGGCACCTGCCTGGGCCGGTCGCGCGCAGGCATCTCTCCGCCCCAAGCACCGCGGAGGCAGGCCGCCCTGGGCGGCGGGGGGCACGCGTTAAATTTTCCGTTTCTTGTCTGCGGCCCAGTTCACGGTTGCAGCCGGCCCGTGCCATAGGGATGCGCGATAAGGATGCAAGGGTGGACGTCCATTTCGCAGCCTTTCGAGCGGGGCGCGGCCAACGAAAGCGGCGAAGGATAGACTTGGGAGGCAAGCATGCAAGGGTACCCTTTGGGAAGGTTGCCCATCCCTGCTATGCGGGTTGACTGTACTTCTTTACTGATGCTATCTGCTCTGTATCCTTGGACCCTGCAGCAAACTCGGGGGGGGTGTTGGACGGGGTGCGCACCGGGGTAGGGGAAGAGGGGAAGGTTTGATAGATGCAGGGATGCTTCTAAGAAGCCTCCCTGTGCGGATGCTCCGTATGTTCACATGTGCTGGATGCTAGTCTTTCCCTCCTTTTCCATACTCTCAGTCGGCGGCAAGCGGGTGGGGGAAGCGAGAAAGGAGAAGGCATTCTCAGAAGGCGGCGGAATTCCTCAAAAACCCTCGCACTTTCCGAGAAGTGTTCTGCGTCTTCGGGGAAGGCTTCGACAACTTCCAAAAAGGCCGGGGGACGTCGGAGCCTTCTGAAAAGGCCCGCCCCTTCTCATTTCCCCCCGGGCTCCGCGCCGATAAAAAGGCACAAATCCCAGGATCCTCCACGTCTTCCATGTGTCCTGGATGCTCGTCGTCCCTTCTATTTTCCATACATTCGTATGTTGTCCTCTTCGCCGATGCATCGCCGACGTCGCCGACGCATGGTCGCAGATACCGGAAGTCTCTGGCAGTCGGCAAGCCTGAAAGACGTAGATACTTGGCGCGGCGGTGGATGCAGACCGCTCCAGAACGCTCTGAGCGTCTCCTGGAACGCTGCGAATCCAATCCTATTACCATACGATCCGCGGCTGGGTGTATGTATATATATATATATACACACACCCCAAACAGCGTTGCTACTAGGAAGTTCTTACTTCGCTTAGCGATCTCGGGGTGAATGGCGGTTTTTGCAGGCGATGCCGCCCGCCGTGCCGCCGTCGCCGTCGCCGCCGCTCGGCCGTCGCCGCCGTCGCCGTCGCCGCCGCTCGGGGCGAGTGGCGGTTTTTGCAGGCGGTGTCGCCCGTCGCCGGCGTCGCCATCGCAAAGATTGCACAACTTAGATTTTCCTTCCAAAAGAGAAAATAAACTCGACCCCCACCCTGGGATTATCGACCCCCTTTCGTGTTGCAATTTGCATACGATGGTGCCCCATCTCTCATCCGAAATATGAGACCATACCATCCCAGCCCAACCGGTATCGCCCCCATGGCCATCCTCGGCAAATTAATGTTATGCGCGCACAGCCGACGATCAACATTTATAAATGTTCATGAATCCGGTTGCAAATAATGAAACGAACTGCACACGCGCGCGTCGTCACGCGCACATGCCGGCATCCTTCAAAAACCTTCGGCGTCGTGAGGATTTGAATATCGAGTGCCCAAAAATTCATATAAAAAGCACATGGGCTCTCAATACGGACTGTCGACGAAAAACGTGCGCGCGCGTTCTTGCGAATGCTTGGGAAGACCATGCGTTTGTTGGCAACATGTTCGACAAGAAAATGCTACCAAACGGGCTTCGTGCGCGGGCATGTCGAAATCGTTCGGACGCCATCGCGCGCGTGCCGTCGCGAGAATCCTATGCAACAGTGAAACGAAGTGCGCGCGCGGGCGTCCCGCGAGCATGCCGAAACCCAACAAAATCCGATGGTGTCGTAAAGGTTTCAAGACCGACGGTCAACACACACCCCAACACACACACAAGCTATAAAGCGTGGCTTCACAACGCACGTTCACAAAATAGCTACGTTCGCGTCCTTGCACGATCCGTGTCGGGTCTTGCTCTTCCGGATGTTTTTGGAAAGTGCTACCAAACGAGCTTCGAACACGCGCATGTCAAAATCGTTCGACCGCCCTCGCGCGCGCGCGGTCGCGAACACTTTCTGCAAAATTAAAGTGCACGCGCGCGCGTCTTCGCGCGCGCATGCCGAAATCCGGCAGAGACGGGGGAGCGCGTAACGATTTCAAAACCGAATGTCACCGAAACATGCAAAAACCTATGGCGTCCCAACATCAGTTTTCAAACAAACGCTCGCGCTCCTGCGAACTCCCGAAATAACCATTAGTCTTCCAACGTGATCACGAAGCTCTGCCACGCGGGCCTCGCGCGCCGCATGCCGATCTCATTCGCATTCCCTTGCGTTCGTGCTGGGGGGGGGGGGGCGCGATCCGTCTCAAATAATCCCATGCGGGCCACTCTCGCGCGTCGGCCGCGCGCGCGTATCGAACTCTTTCCAAGACCTTCATCACCGACGCGAAAACGCCGTCATCGTCGCCGGAGTGATCAGCATCCGCGCCGTCACTGGCCGCGCCGTCGTCGCTGTCAGCATCATCACCAATATCGCTACTATCATCACCGTGCCTACCGTTGTCGACGTTGCCATGGTACCGAGCCCGCCCAAGTCGCAAACTCGCATTGAAGTGACCGCTGGGATGTGCCCAGCGGTCAACGCTACCGCGGCGGCGTCGGTCGCGCCAAAGCAGGCACGTGCATGCGCGGGCTGTCGGGGCCGCATACGTGCACCAGCAAGCGCCAAACATTCATCGCAATCGCCGCCGCATGGGGTTTGCAAGTCAAGTTGCGGGTGGCTGGGTGGGACGTATGCGCGAACAATGGAATAGACAACTCCGAATTCAGCGCAAAGTACTCCCACCAACCGTTTGGGCGCAGGTGGTTTCACGATAACGTGTTTCCGTTTCTAAAAACCCTTCCTCCCATTCAGGGAACGGTTTTTCACGGTTCCCTATTAAGAAACACCCCCTCTCCCGGTCGGCAGCCAACCCGGAACCATGCGCACACCATGCGGGCCCCGCCCCAGCTTCCCTGCCAAAAGACAATACAAAACACACGATGTCTCCAATTTCGGAGCATGCGCAACCAACCCGATGCGGCCCCCCCACCATCCCTCTCAAAGAACAATGCACAATACACGTTGCGGCCCCCCACCATCCCTATCAAAAAACAAGGTCTGGCATCATTTTCATGAGGCCCGCGGGTACTTTGTACGGTTTTTCGACAAGGACGGCGCGGGTGTCAGCATATTGTCTGCTGCGAGCAGGGCTACCACCCCGGACAACACACACCCACAATAGAAAATGCACCTCGCGGCAAAATGTGGATAGTGCGCGGCCACCCCGCGATCGTTGTCAACTGGTTGTTGTCAAGGACGTCAGGGGTGGTGGCGCATGGCCTGCAATGCGCAGGCCCACCAAACACAATGATGGGCATTGGCGTTCGACAAGGATGGTGGGGGCCGACATCCTTCCCGATGTGTGCTGTCACGTGCGCAAGCGCACCTGACACACTCTGCACGGGCCTCGGACGTGGCGCACCTGGCGCGGATGGAGGGAGCATCTGGCGCACCAGGCGTCTGGCACGCTCGGACCCCAAGGGTGCCTGGCGCGCGTGGCGCGCGAGGCATGCGCGGCGCACCTCGCCCCAACGTCGCACATATGGGCTCGCTTTAGGTTCCCAGTAGCTGTCCATCAAAAGACGACCGCAAAACATGCCGAGGCTCGGGTGTTACGTATGTGTTGGGAGGGCGGGTGGGAGTGAGCTAGACGGCTTGCTATTTGGAGGGTGTTTAGAAACCTCCCCTTGCCCCCTCCCCTAGACCTGGACGGGAGGGGCCGCGACCCGTTGGAGCGTCAAGATCGGCACCTGGGAGGGCCAATTGTTGACACCTCTCACGAGGATCGTGGCCCCCGAAGGGGGGGAGCCTCGATCGGGTGAAGCCCTCCTTTTGATCGATCGTTCCGAAGATTACCCAAAATGGCGCTCCAGGGCTCCCAGGAGAACCCCAAGAGAGCCCCAAAAGGGCCCCAAGACGGTCCCAAGAGGGTCCCAAAAGGCACCCGAGAGGCCCCCAAGAGGCCCCCGAGCGGACTCAGAGCCCAAGATGACCTCCAAGATGGTTCAGATAGCACAAGCTGGCTCAAGATGGCTCCCAACATGCTCCAAACGGCCCCAAGACCGATCCAAGAGCACCCAAGAGCGCGTTCCAAGAGAGCTCCAAGAAGCGGCTTGTCGGCTCATAAAGGGGGACTGAGTTGGGCCCCCCCCATCCTGTAATCGATGGCCTCCTAGATGATCCCAAGAAGCCTTCAAGGGTTACCAAGAGGCTTCCAAGAGGGCCCCCACAAATCCCAGAGAGCATCAGCAGTAGCAGCAGCCGAAAAAATACCTCTAAATGGTTCCATGAGCCCTCGTCCGCGTCGTCCTCATCCTAGTCCTCGTCCTCCTCGTCCTCGTCCTCATCCGCGTCCTCCTCGTCCTCCTCGTCCTCCTCGTCCTCCTCGTCCTCGTCCTCATCCTCCTCCTCCTCCTGCTCCTCCTCCTCCTCGGGTTGACACGGCCCAGGAGTCGCGACCCCCACCCACAACCGATGGGTTCTCGGTCGCGGCGGTTTCTTCTCACGGAGCAGGATGGGATGGCGGAGACGACGGTGACGAAGACGGCGGCGACGGCGGCGGCGGTGACGGCGGCGGCGACGGCGGCGGCGCTGGCGCCGATTGGGTGGCTTTGGCTCCGCCCCAGACGCGCCCTGCAGGAAGAACTTGCAGGCGACACGCGCTGGCTGCGGCAGCTTGCCTTCCAGCGACAGCAGACCGCCGTAGCCCGTGTTGCCCTGGCAAGCGGACGCGAGCAGATGGATTTTGAACTTGCAGCTGCGAGAATCGAGGATTGCTTCCCACCCGACACGCTGGTGTTGACTGACTTCAAGGAGGGGCTGTTGTACAAGTGACACGCGCGCCCTGGCTCTTGCACCAAGGGTCTGCTAGAGACAGGATGCTTTCGCCTCCTTCCTCCAGGAGCTTGCCTTTGTGGCCGCGGGGGGGAGGACGAACGACGAATGAACGAACGACGACGACGGCCGAAGACAAAGAGGTCCGAGCTCTAGAGCACAGCTGTGCAAGATAATTAAAAGCAAAGGGCTCCAGACCCGCCTCGCACACCCTTCGTACCGCGGCAGCCGGGCCGACCGCGTGCCAGCGCACTGGAGATACATATCCCGCCTCGTGCCTCCTCGGCAGATTCCGGCGGCATGCCGCTGCCGTCAAGCCCAGCGCGTGCTGGTGCTATCTGGGTGTCCCGACTCGCGGTCTTGGGTGGGGATCGCGCGAAACTGCATCATGTTGGTTTGGGTGGCATCCTCTTCGCCACGGCTGGCCAGGCCTCCAAAGCCTGGTCGGAACGCACCCCGAGTTCGAGGCAGTTTCTTGGCAATGTTTGGCACTTCCTCGGCATCCTCGTCGCCACGGCTTGATCCGCCTCGAGATTCTGGTCGTACCGCGTCCAAGTGCATGTCTCGGGATCGAATGACTTCTTACCCCCAGGAACAGACCCCAAAGAATCGCGGAGGACCGTCTTTGGCAACGCTCGGCCTCCATTGCCGGGGCCTGGGCATGAGAAGCTGGCCCCGTGGCAAGGGCCGAGGCCTCGAGGTGCCCACGTGGCGGGCAAGACCACGCCGCTGGGGGTGTATGGGCCGGTGACAGGCTAGGCCCATCCAGGGCCAATGCTCACGGGGAACGACCGTGGAGGCACAAACAAATGATCGGCACCGGGTGCCGCCCTCCCGACAACACCTTGGGGGGCCCAGGGAGGGGGGGCGAGTCCGCCACCCAGAAGTGGCACGTGCGGGGCCTGGAGCGGGCCCCCCAGAAAGCCGCGTGTCCCATGGCATGCGCTCCGAGCCCGCGCGTGCCACAGAAAGAAGCAATAGCAGCAGCGCCCGATTGGACGACAGATCCCCCTACCTCGGCACCCGCCCTCTCCGTCTCCGACCACAGACCCCCCTCGAGGGCCGATCGTCCTCGGCTGCCACGGGCAGGCGGCGCAGCCCCAAAACAGGGGAGGGGAGGAAGGAAGGAACAACGGATGGGAAGAGAAGGATGGCTGCGCCCTCCGGTCCCCTGGGAGGGGGAGGAGGAGGAGGAGGAGGAGGAGGAGGAGGAGGAGGAGGAGGAGGAGGAGGAGGAGGAGGAGGAGGAGGAGGAGAGAGGAGGAGGGGGAGGAGGGAGGAGGAGGAGGAGGAGGAGGAGGAGAGGAGAGGAGGAGGAGGAGGAGGGAGGAGGAGGTGGAGGGAGGAGGGAGGAGGGAGGAGGGAGGAGGGGGAGGGAGGAGGGAGGAGGAGGAGGAGAGGAGGGAGGAGGGAGGAGGAGGAGAGGAGGAGGAGGAGGAGGAGGGAGGAGGAGGAGGAGGAGGAGGGAGGGAGGAGGGGGGGGGAGGAGGAGGGAGCACGACAGAGGTTCGCAGCAGGGAGGCAGGGCGCAGGCGCAACAGAAAGCACAGGCGACGGAGCCGCAAGGGGCGGGGTCGGGCAGCGCATGGCGGGCAGCGGCGGGCCCGGGCGGCCAGCGGCCGCGGAAGCTCGGAAGCCGGGCGAGGGCCGGCAAATCCGTGGCTGCTAAAACTTACCAGATTGACACGCCAAAAGGCGATTGATTCGAGCACCTTCGACTCGTGGCGCTTCGGCGCGTTGAGCTCCTCGAGGCGTCGGAGGTCTGGGAGCAGCAGCTGCCGGCGGACGCGGACGCGGAGTCGCCGTGCGAGGTGTCGGCGGCGCAGAAGCGCCGCAGCGAGGAGGAGCTCGGGCGGGAAAACTTGCTGACAGGCACCAGCACGATGCGAACGTATCCCTATCCCTCAGATTGACACGCCAAAAGGCGATGACAATAGGGATCCGCCCTGAAAAAATAAGGGAATCCCTAGCATTGGCATCGTGATGAGGAGGTGCCCAGCATAGGGATAGGAATATGTTCCAGGCTGGTAATAAAACGTCGGGTGTTGCTAGAAGTGCCCGTGGCCCAAGGTGCCCCCGGCTTTTCGCTCCGTTTTGGAGCACCTGGGGCCCTCTGGGCCCCGTGAGGGGTGCCCTGGAGGCCGCCTGGGCCACCCTGAGAATCCTGGGGGCACCTTGGGCCAGGGGCACTTCTAGCAACACCCAGAAACGGTCTTCCCGGAAGAAAAAGCCAGATTCCAGGAATCAAGCTCAAGGCACTAAATCGTAAACGGGCAGCTTGCCGGAAGAAAAGCAACAATTTCCCGGAACCCCGTTTTAGCAACCACGGGTTTGCCAGCCTTCGCCCGGCTTCTGAGAAACCTCAGTCAGTCCTACATGAATCGCGAGGACGTCTGCAGTTATATCGCGATTCACCTGTAGCTCGGGACGGCATCCAACAAAAAAAAACTGGAATTCTGAGTTTTTGGGGCGCGGCGAACCAATACCTTGGAAAACGCATGCCGCGCCAGAGCGTCATGCCTGTAGAAATTGCGACGGTGTCCCGGGCGAAGGCGCGTTTTGAATAAGCGGTGAAGACGTATGAGGCGGGAGCCGTTGTTGTGGTAGTTCGAGCCTCAAGACTTTCCCTCGTCAGAAAATGGTGCGAGCCCCAGGAGGCACACTTTAATCGAGAAACGCAAGGTGCCCCAAAGAGGCGATCAACAATACGCATAATCAGAGTTGGACACGAAAATATGAACACTCATGTTGGGACATGTCAATTTCACATGTACGCGCATCACTCAACAATTTTGCTCCAACCCCCCAGTCATGCCAACCTTGGGGGTATAGTTTCCTGCCCTGCCACGCGTAGATGGCGCAGCCCCTAAAACAAAAGAGGCGAGGGAGAAGGATGGAGCACGAGAGATTAGCAGGGAAACAGGCGCCGAACCAGACGGGCGGGTCGGGCGGGAGGAAACTAATGAGCGGACTGGGCGGCGGGGGCCTGGCGGCCCAGTCGAGCGGGCAGGTCGCTGAAGCGTAAGTCCTGATTGAATCGCGAGGACGTCTCGAGCGTTGGCGCGTTGAGACCGTGATTTCTGAATGTCGAAAGCACGTGTCAATACATTGCGAATAAATCCGACGCGAAATAAATCCCGCGCGAGAGCGCGAATACTGTGAGACGTATCAGGCGGAGGACGCTAAGTACCCTGGCCACGTCCCCCGCAATCGGGCCAGAGATAATGTTCCTCCTGGGCGCGGCTTTCAGGCGCCCAAAAGCAATCCAAGGGGGCCCCAAGAGGCGCTCAATACGGCTTCCAGACGGCCGTTGACGCGCACAAAACCTCCGAAGAGGCCACCAAGAGGCCCCCAAAGAAAACCCCAAGAGGGCCTCGAGAGGCCAAAACCGTAAATTGTAGAATGGTTTCGGTGGTTTTCCGCCTTGTCGCCTTTTCGGCTTTCCAACACTCCAAAAGGGCCCACGAGGCTCCCAAGGCCGCCCTAAGACGGTCCAAGAAGCCTCCAAAAAGGCCCCCGAAAAATCCAAGAAGGCCCAAAAGTGGCCCCAGAGGCGCCAATATCGCCCAAGAAGGCCACAAGGCGGCCCCAAGAGGGGCCCAAGAGAGGGAACGCGAACCACCAATTCGAACCTTCCGCCCCGGGAGGCCCCCAGGTGGCCCCAAGAGGCTCCCAAGAGGGTGCAGGGGGCTCCCTGGAGGCCCCACGAGGCCCCCAAGGCACCAAAAGAAGCTCAAAGAGGCCCCCAAACGGCCCACAGAGGCCCCACAGAGGCCCCAAGAGGGCAATCCCCACCAAGCCGCAGCGTGCTGGGCTCGGTCGGCCACCCCGCCCAGGTCGCCGCCGTAGGGGCCGTAGCCTCGTCGCGGGTGGTTTGTATTTCCCGCCCCCTGGCCTGGCCTGTCTGCGTGCGGTTGCTTCCCCTCCCCCCTCCCTTGTCCTCCTATTCCCTCCCTTTCTGCTCGCTGTTTCCCTCCCTTTCCTTTCATCCTGCTCCCTGCCTGCTGTCCCCGCCTGGCCCATCTTCTGCCTGCCCGCCCGCCCCGACGGCCCTGGCCTCCCGCCTGGGCGTTTGTCGTCGTCAGCCTGCTTCTCCCAACTTCGTCCCCTTCCGCCGGACAGCACAGCCTGCTCGGGACCAGCGTGGCGCATACACATGCAAGTGCCTGTGGCGGTCTGCACAAACTCTAAGTTTCAGCCCGCAGGCTCCGCCAGCCAGCCTTGAGACTGGCACTGCAGCCAGCAGGCAGATTGCTGAAGCGTGCGTTCGTTCTGAATGAGTCGCCAGGAAGTCTAGAGCGATAGCCCCCAGAGGCCACGAACGCGCATGCAAACGCCTGCGATGGCACAATATGGGCCGGCGGAGTGAGCGAAGCGATTAAACAAACTGTGTGGACGTATCAGGCGGGAGCCGTTGTTGTCGTAGTTCAGGGGCCAAGGGCGCAGTGCGAGCCTCAAAACTCCCCCTTGTCACAAACAGGGTGCGAGCCCCCGGGCGGGGCACTCCAATTGAACAGCATCAGGTTCATTGGAGGTGCGACCCGTGGGGGCATATCTTCCTTACCTTCCTGTCTGCCCTTATCACGGGGAAACGAGGCATGATGCAACGAATGGACAACGGGGAGGGAAAGGGACGGACCACGAGAAGGAATAGTACGAAGGGGGTTGGAGCAGAAAACAAATCGCAGAACCAGCCGGGCGGGTCGGGCGGGTGCGCCCGGCGGGCTAGGCGGGCGGGCCCAGGCGGCGAGGTCGAGCGGACGAGTCGCTGAAGCCTCAGTCCTGCATGAATCGTGAGGAAGTCTCGAGCGATAGCTCGCTTTCCACGTAAAGCGCGGGGATGCCCTGGGCGAAAGCATGATTCCTGAATGTCGTGGGCGCGGCGTGCAAACGACTTGCGAGGACGCCCCAAGCGACAGCGCATGGAGCACGAGAGAGAGATTAGCAGGAGTGGGGGCTACGACAACAGCAACAACAGCAACAACAACAGCAGCAGAAACAACAGATTGAGCTTGCAGCATCCTGGCCCTGAAATGACTGACCCTGGGCATCGCTCGGACGTCCATTCCCTGTGTTTTTTTTGCTTCGTGCGTGGTTTTTTCGCCAAATGATCAAGGATGCTCCTCGATGGTCCTCGCCGAAGGAAAAATGCACACCTCCAAGCGATGCCAAGGACCCCCAGTATAGAGTAAGAGGAACGGCATAAACAACAACCTTCGGCGCTCCGCGCGGATTTCTGGGACCTGCGCCCGGCACCCCCCTCCCTGGCGCGCGGAGCGCCAGGGGCGGCGCCGGAGGCGCCTCCAGGGGGGGGCCAGCGCAGATCTGAGAAAGCTGCGCGGAGCGCCGAAAGTTTCCCCAATCAGAGCTTGCCTCTGTTCGGGGATGGACAGACCCCCCTTTAGTGAAACGTGGTTTAGTGAAAACGACCTGAAGCCCAAACCTGGCGGGCGCAAGCCTGGAAAATAACGGCCACGGCGCCCTCTCGAGAACCGAAAACGGACAATTCACTAATCGACGTGTCACTGTTGGGGGTTCTGTCCACCCCCGATCTGTAGGGGTCCTAGCGGATTCATATGGGTAGGTTGTGTGCGCCGCCGACTTCGGCGGGTGCAGCTCCAGGTGCCCGGGCGCCAGGGTGCCCCGGTGCCCGGGTGCCGCAGGTGAGGTGCCGCCGCCGATTCCCACGGCCGGGTGCCCGGGTGCCTGTGTGCCCGGGTGCCCGGGTGCCCAGGTGCCCAGGTGCCCGGGTGCCCTATAGCCCTATGGCCCGACAGCCCTATAGCCCTAGAGCTCTATAGCCCCATGACCCCAAAAAAGAGTATGATTGGGGCTTCTCCCCAGTATCATGCCTTGGTTTATTTTTCGAACGAGGCTGACCCCTGGAAGCAGGCGAAAACAGGGCAGTCGAGCCCCCGCCGCTGGCCCTGCCCACCTGGCCTGCATGGGCGTCCCCAGGTCCACGACGGCGGGGGGCTCCGGCGGCAGCTCGCCAGCCATGCCTGGCCACCCCCGTCCTCCCTCGCCGCCCTCCTCGCCGCCGCCGCCGTGGTTGCCGCTGCAGTCGCCGGCGCCGTCGTCGTCCTCGCCGCCGTCGCAGCCGTCGTCGCCATCGCAGTCGTCATGGTCGTCCTGCGCAACAATGTCGTCGCTCGTCGCCGCAGCCGTGTAGTCGTAGTCGTGGTCACAGTTGTACCCGTAGTCGTAGGAGTAGAAGTAGCGATCGTCGTCCTAGTCGTCGTCGTTGTCGCCATCCTCGTCCTCATCGTCCCCATCGTCGTCCTCCTCGTCGTGGCAGGCATCGCCCTCGTCGTCGTAATCATCATCCTCCAGGGCTGAGGAGGGAGAAGGACGCCACCGCTTTTGGGAGGTGTTCTCCTCCCCTCTTTATGCACCCTCTTGTTACGCCTCTATCTCCCTCATGCCTCCTCCATCTCCCGTCTCAATCAGAGAGCTCCAAAATATTGTGCTCCTTCACTTGCTCCTCTTCTTCTCCACCGTTGCCTCCAGCATCATCATCATCATCATCATCATCATCATCATCATCATCATCATCATCCTCATCATCATCACCAGTATCATCGTCGCCGCCAACGTCGTCGGCATCAGCATCAGCATCAGCATCAGCATCAACATCAGCATCATCAGCATCAGCATCAGCATAAGCATCATCATCACCACAGTCAGCATCACCATCATGATCATCATCATCAGCATCAGCATCACCATCATGATCATCATCAGCTCCGTCATAACTATTGACAGCAGTATCATCATCATAATGTCTCCTTCTCCACCATCATCAGCATCAGCATCAGCATCAGCATCATTATCATCAGCATCAGCAGCATCAGCATCAGCATCAGCATCATCATCATCATCATCATCAGCATCATCATCGACGCCAACATCGTCATCAGTATCACAATCATCACCGTCAGCAGCATCAGCATCGCCAAGGCCATCAGACTCATCATCACACCACCATCATCATCATCGTCATCATCATCATCGTCATCATCATTATCATCATCATCAGCAGCAGCATCATGCGCAGCACGATCACCACCACCATCAGCATCAGCATCATCATCATCGTCGTCATCATCATAGTTGGCATCAGCATCACCATCATCATGCGCACCATCATCACCACCAGCAGCATCATCAACATCATCATCACCACCACCGTTGCAAGCATCACCTACGACATCACAATCACCAGAATGATAATCATCTGCAGCATAAGCATCAGCATCATTACCACCGCCATAATCAACATCAACACCACCATCATCGTCATCATGTTATTATATGTGTTGGTCCTCATCCTCATCATCGTCCTCATCATATTCCTAAGCATCATCCTGAGAATCCTCATGATCCTCATCCCCATCCTCATCGTACTCCTGATCAGTATCATCATCACCATCATCAACATCATCACCATCACCATCACCACCATCATTATCATCAACATAGGATCGTTGCCTTCTCAAGCTCCATCCGACTCCACCTCCACTTGGTCCAATTGGGGGAGCCGTTCTGCAATCCTCGTCCTCTTCCCGACCTGGCATCCATGGCCCCTCCCTCCTCTCAATCTTTTTTTTTTTTTTCCCCCCGCGCCCACTGGATGAAGGCTCGAACTCGAAATAAGCCCCTCCCTCCTCTCAATCTACTCCACTCTCCTCCCCTCCGCTCGTGCCATTATTTTATCATCTATTTCTTGTGATCTCCTCGTCCTCGTCCTCGTCCTCGTCCTCGTCCTCGTCCCTCGTGCTCGTCCTGGTCCTCGCCCTCATCCTCGTCCTCGTCGCTCGTCCTCGTCCTCGTCCCCGTCCTCATCCTCCCCTCGCCCTCGTGATCTCAAGACCCTCGTCCTCGTCCCTCTTCGGTCCCCCATCCTTCCACCTTCGCCCCGAGACCTCCGACAGCTCCGACCTGTTCTGGGTCGCAAGGGCCCCGATGGGCGGCTCTAGATGAAGAGAAAGCTCTACAAGAAGAGATCGGCCCACCCTGTCGAGTCGCGCTCCCCTGGTAATCACGCCACGCCCCCCCACCAAACGCCGCCTCGAGGGGGGGAATGGACAAAGGACCCAACGCTGCCTCGAGCGGCAGAAGCGGGGTAGAAGAAGGTAGAAGAAGGTAGAATAATAATAAGAATAAGAAGAAGGAGGAGGAGGAGGAGGAGAAGAAGAATAAGAAGAAACGCCGTAAGTCTGAACTTGTGGAGCTCCGCGCGGATTGTTTGGTTCTGCGCTGGGCCCCCCCTGGTAGCGCCCCCGATGCCGCCCCCTGGCGCGCTCCAAAGAGTACTCCAGATTTCGTAATAAAAGGGAGGGGGTCTGGACCCTCCAAGACAAGCCATTTCAGACCTCCCCCGTGGGAGAACCCTCCAAAACATCGTCCCCAGACCCCCCCAGGCCCTCCAAGATAGCTGGAAGAGACCCCCCCCCCGAAATGAGACCCCCCTCCCTTTATTACGAAATCTGGAGTATGTTTATAGCGTGTGTTCTTCTTCGAGGTTTCACCCTTGAGTCGGGGGTCCTCTGACCCGGGTCAATCCAGACCCGGGTCAGTCAGGCCTTGCAGAACCTTGCAAAATCCTGGAAAATCCTGCGCCCAAACCTGGGTCAACGCGAAGGATCCTGCAAGATCCTGCAGGATCCTGCACCCAAACCCGGGTCAATGCGACCCTGGCCCTGCAGGACCCTGCAAGGTCGGGGCGCTCTGGCTGACCCCTGCTTGCGTTGACCCCCGTTTCAAGGCTCCCGACTGAGTCGATGTGCAACGGTCCCCGGGGAACCAGAAGCGCGGCCCTGGAGGCCGAAGGTGGAGAAGAGCTCCCGACTGAGTCGATGTGCAACGGTCCCCGGGGAACCAGAAGCGCGGCCCTGGAGGCCGAAGGTGGAGAAGAGAAGCTGCGGCGGGGCCGTGCTTCGACTCGCCAGAGCTCCGGACCTCCGGCCCCAGGCCAGCCAGGGCTGCGACTGTGGCAGGGTCGTGCTTCACTCGGTGCCCCCCTCCCTCCCGCCTGCGCTTCCTTATCCATCCTTCCTCCTCTCCTGAAGGGTCGGCCCGTATCATAAGGACGCGCGACAAGGATGCAAGGGCCATGGGCGCCCATTCCGAAGCTCCTCGAGCGGGGCGCGGCCAACGAAAGTGGCCAAGCATGGACCGAGGAGGCAAGGATGCAAGGGTACCCTTGGAAACATTGCGGGTTGACAGTATCCATCCTTTCTCCTCTCGTTGGGTGACCCAAAAGGGGGTCCAGCTGAAGGGGGGTGGTGCAATAGACTTGGGGCACGTGTATTACGAATGTGTTGCGCCGGAGATTTGATTGTATTGCATTGTATTGCAAGTAACGTATTGCACGCGAAAATCCAGCATTAGATTTGCGCCCCAGAATGTGTTGCACGCCCCAAATGGATTGCCCCTTGTCGCTGGACCATCAACTACCGATACCGTTACTTCCCCGATCTCTCCCGGGTTGCGTTTCGATCGGGAATTCGAAGTGAATCCAGCGATGGCGACGAGGGCCTCCCAGGTGGCCCCAGAAAGGCGAAAACGGGGGAGGGGTAGCAAAGTCGGCCCCTTCTGCAAGGGCGCCAAACTTCGTGCTTCGCGCTGCGCCAAGCGCGGATCACCTCGCTCTCCGGCGCACCCTCCCTTAGGAGACGAGGAGAACGAGGAGGAACAGGAGCCGAATCGCGAAGCGCGAATCACTTCGCGCCCTCGAGGGCGCCCTTGTTCTGCTCCTCTGACCGCCCCTGACTACCTACCAGACCACCGCAAGCCAACCAAGGGGTACGAATTTCACTTGTTTTTGTGCATGCTCCCCGACGCCCCCCCACTGGAAATGGAGGGCAAATTGAAGCCTTCGGGTTGGGTTGGGATGGTTTGGTGGGTGGTGAGCCCCCAGCCACAGGCGGCCCAAGGCTATGACGTGAGGGTCGCGGGAGCACTCGCAGTCATCGCCCTCGGGGGCGCCCGAAGAACTTCGCGCCCTGGAGGGCGCCCGCCCCCGGCCCCAGACCGCCAAAGGCTATGACGCGAGGGTCCGCCCTGGTGCGCCGAGGGCCCGGCTCGGCGGCCCGCTGGCTCTGCCGTCGCTCTGGCGCCTGCCAGCGAGAGAGCGGAGGGCCCCGGCGTGCCCGAGGCCGCGCGCCCAGGTGGGCCCCGCAGTCGGCGGCCTCGCCGCCCGCGGGTGCTGCGCCAGGCCCCCCAAGGCCCTTTCCCAACCCTTTGGCCCTCTCGTCCCGCCGCGCTCCTCTGCGGCCCGCTCCCCTCCCCCTCCCCCCAATGGGGGGCGCCCGTCCCCGGGCCCGGGCGGCCCAAGGCTATGACGTGGGGGTCGTGGGAGAACTCGCAGTCGTCGCCGTACTTGCACGACCCGCCCATCATCACGAGCCTGCAGGGCTGCGGGCCTCGCCTGCACGAGGGGCGCTCGGCATTGCTTTTTCGTTTGCTGCTCGGGGGAGGGGGCGGGGCGGGCAGGGGGAGGGGGGGGAGGAGGAGGAGGAGGAGGAGGAGGAGGAGGAGGAGGAGGAGGAGGAGGAGGAGGAGGAGGAGGAGGAGGATGCGGATGCGGATGCGGATGCGGATGCGGATGCGGATGCGGATGCGGAGGAGGATGCGGATGCGGATGCGGAGGATGCGGAGGAGGAGGAGGAGGAGGAGGAGGAGGAGGAGGAGGAGGAGGAGGAGGAGGAGAGGGGAGCGGAGGAAGGGCATGGAGAAGGGAAGGGAAGCGCCTGAGCCAGGTGCCGCAAGCGTACTCGCGCCAGACCCTGTGAAGCAGATTCTCGGAGCTGCTTGAATCTGGTCCACGTTCAAAAAGGCGTCCACTGTTGAGCTGTGATGGAAGGAGGGGCGGACTTTGATGCTGTGCCGCATGTGTACCTCCTGGAGGGAACTTGCAGCCACGGCTGGACCCGCCCCGAAATCCTGGTCACAGCACCCTCCGGGAGAGGTCGGGAGTGATTGCGTACTTAGAAAAGTGGCAAATGAAGAAGTGGGAATGGTCAGTTCGCGAGGCGAAAGCACATGAATAAATACTTCCTCTGGCTCGCAAGAACGAGAGAACGTTTATCCAGTCCCGCCTTCATCCTCTGCTGAGGTTTCGCGACGAGTCGTGGTGCCTTCGCGCGAATTCCTTACCACGGTCTCGAACCTGCTTGGAGGCACAGCACACGCTCCACAGAACCAGTGCTCGAGGCTGCCATGGTAGACGAGGCCGTGCGACGAAGGAAAGAGCCCCCCGTGCAAACCACGAGGCTAGGCTCCTGGCACGAACGATCGCGCAATGCATGTTCTCGAGACTCACGGGGACTCGCGTACGCGTACGTGTTTTTGCTCGCTCCTGGTCGCTCTTCGGTGGCAACTCGTGGGAGCCTCCCGTATCATCTTGTAAGCTCTTCCGAATCGATGCTAATCGACGCTGGTCGATGCGAATCGACGCTGAGTCGACGCTACATCGACGCTAATCGACGCCAACCGACGCTAGATCGGCGCTATCTCACCGACTCCCAGACGCTAATCGACGCCAGTCGACCCCATGATTTGCTACAGAACCATTCCCCTTCGGTCACCTCCACCCCACCGTCTTCCCTCCGTCCTCCCTCGTCCGCCAGGCCCCCTTCCTCCACCTGCAGCATGCCCTTCGACTTACCCCCCCCCCTCCCTGCCACCTCTCACCCTCCCTTTGTGGAGTCCATTCTAGCAGAAGAAAGAAAAAACTCTACAAGAAGAGATCCGCCCACCCTGTCGAGTCCTTCTCCCCTGGTAATCACGCCACGCGCCCCCACCCAACGTCGCCCCGAGGGGGGGAGTGGACAAAGGACCGAGGGGGGCAGGAAGGTAGGGGGGAAGGAACAGGCGGACGAAGGTAAAAAGAAAAAACGCCATGAACATTAACTTTTGGCGCTCCGCGAGGATTTCTCGGATCTGCGCCGGACCCCACCAGGGGCGGCGCCAGAGGCACCGCCAGGGGGGAGGGGGGCCCAGCGCGGATCCTAGAAATGCGCGCGGAGCGCAATAGGTAATTTGTTGCCTTCGTCGAGACAAAGGACCGAGGGCGGCAGGAAGGAGAACTTGTACTTGGCTCTCAATGAAAATGCTGCCCACTACGTCCATTAGTTTGCCGTGGTCGCCATGCAAATAGAAATCCTCTTATGCCCAGCTTCACACAAGCCCACGAAGCCTTGCGACGTTACCGTGCCCTGTATTGGTAGGCTTTGCAAGCAGCTCCTCCGTGTTTTGCCTACGTGGGTCCACTGCGCAGCTTGCTCGGAGAACATCTTCCGGGAGACGCGGCAGGCGGACGAAGGTGGGGAGCGGGTGCGAGCAGAGCGCAGAAGGGGCCCGTTCCCCACCACCACCACCACCACAGGTTAGAGGGGGAACGGAGGTGGAGGACGAGGAGGAGGAGGACAAATAGGAGGAGGAGGAGGAGGAGGAGGAGGAGGAGGAGGAGGAGGAGGAGGGGGGGGAGGAGGACCAAGAGGAGGGGGAGGAGGAGGAGGAGGGAGGAGGAGGAGGAGGAGGAGGAGGAGGAGGAGGAGGAGGAAGGAGGACCAAGAGGAGGAGGACCAAGAGGACGAGGAGGAGGATAGGATAGGACCGTGGGGCGACTGCTCCGTGCCACTGAGGAGGAGGAGGAGGAGGAGGAGGAGGAGGAGGAGGACCCCCCCCCCCAACTGATGGTGGTGGTGGTGTAAAACAGGCCCGTCAGGAGCGCCCTCTCGTGAAAAAAAAACACGGCCAGGGGCCGGGCCCCCGCCAGCGGGCGCGGGCCCGCAGCACGACTGCGGCCGCGGCGCCCTGCCGGCAGTGTCGAGAACGGGCCAAACGCCCGCTGGTCACGCTGGCGGGGATGGGCCTCTGGAGTGGGGGCCCGACCACCAGAGACACTCCACGAGAAGCCCAGCCCTGAGACCCCAGGGCGTCCATGGATGTTTCGCGTGGGAGCGTGCCGGCTTCCACAGCAGAACCATCGAAACCCGAGAAACCCAGGGCACGCTGGAGGCAAGCAGGGTGTTTCTTGGCATGGGCCTCCACTGTATCGAGGATGGACAGAAACCCCCCTAGCAAAACGTGGTTTCGTGAAAAAGACCTCGGGCCCAAACCTGGCAGGCGCGGGCCTGGAAACTGACGGCCGCGGCGCCCTCCAGAGAACCGAGAACCGAGAACGGACAATTCACTAATCGACGTGTCAGGGTGGGGGCTCTGTCCACCTCCGATTCTATTATGACCTCCGAGGGGAAAGAGGCGCCAGGGGGAGAACCCCAAACCTCACTCAGCTTGGGCGACGAGGGCGCAGCCGACCCGTATCGCAAGGATGCGCGGCACGAACGCAGGGGCCTTGGGAGGCCATTTCGGAGCTTTCCGAGCGGGGCGCGGCCGACGAAAGCGGCCAAGGATGGACCGAGGAGACACGGATGCAGGAGTACCCTTGGGAGGGTTGACCATCCTTGCCATGCGGGTTGACTGTATGAAGGGGCCCCAGGACACACTAATAAATAGACACAAATAAAAGGATCCCCCATATCTTCCTATATTTTCTGGGTTTTTGTCTTCCCCCCCACCTCTGGGGAATCGACGATTCATTGTGTCTGTGTGTTTTTGTCCCCTCCTGACTGTAGGCGATCGACATGTGATACATGCCGCTTGCCCCTGCTCACGCCCGCACGGATACAGGTCCGGCTCTGGGAGGCCACGGCTTGCACGCGTGCCCGCGGAGGAAGGCTGGGCACGGGAGGTTAGGCTCCCTCTCTCCCAATCCCAATCCTTACGTTCCTACTTTTACAGGCGCAGGCAAATACTGACACTGCTGCGCTCCAGAGGCCTCTCCCGGGCGTGCGTCCTGACCAGGAGCTCGAGGCGACTTCCAGCGTGGCGACGAGAAACAGGCGCAGCGGAGGGGCAGCGGCAGGGAGGGACCTGCTCGGGGGGGGGGTCGACCCGCCATCGGCGATACATCGCCGATAGATCGGCGATGTGACCCTGGTGGCGAAACCGCATGTAGAGGCATCCTAGATGGGGATCCACGAAGATGGGGTCGAAGGATCGCGCCGCATCGCCGATGCATCGCCGATGCATCGGCGACACTGGCATGGAGAAAATCGGGCTCCGCATGGAGTTGCATCCTCGGTTGGAACAACTACCTGCCAAACCCCCCCAACCCAACCCGAAGACCCGAAGCTGACCCGAATCTCGGGTTGGGGGTGGGGGGTCGAGCTCCATGTGCCTTTTTTTCAATGTTCCCCGACCCCCCCCACCACTGGAAAATGGAGGGCAAATTGAGGCCTTCGGGTTGGGTTGGGGTGGTTTGGTGGGTGGTGGTGAAATGAAGGGGCCCCAGGACACACAAATAAATACACACAAATGAAAAGATTCCCCATATTGTATCTTGTCTTATATTTTTGGGGTTCTTGTCTTCCACCACACTTCCCATATTTGCCCATATCTTCTGGGAATCGACGATTAATTATGTCTGTGTGCTTCTTTCCCTCCTGATGAAAGGTTCCGGTTCTCGTTGACAGGTCTAGGGGGCGCCCAGCGGCCCCGAGGAGTCCCAGGGGCTCTCGCAGGAACGGGGCGCAAGGGAGGGCAGATGATCAACCAACAAAAAAGGGCCAAAAGAACATCAGGGAAAAGTTAGGGAGGGCCAAAAAACATCAGGAAAAAACATCGACCAGCAAAAAGATGATCAAAGTTAGGAGGGCCAAAAACATCAGGAATGGGGACCAACAACATGAGGCATGGGGGCCAAATTCGGGGATGGACAGACCCCCCTTTAGTAAAACGTGGTTTAGTGAAAACGACCTGAGGCCCAAACCTGGCGGGCGCAAGCCTGGAAAATAGCGGCCACGGCGCCCTCTCGAGAACCGAAAACGGACAATTCACTAATCGACGTGTCACTGTTGGGGGTTCTGTCCACCCCCGACGAATCAATATTGGACTCGTCGGATCCGTGCCGAATCCGTGTCGAAGGCGCGTCGAGTCCGCGCCAAATCCGCATCGAGTCCGCATCGAGCCTGCGTCGGGCACAAGCAAAGACACCAATTGTGGGGACAGGCGAGGTCCCCCGAAGATCTCCCGACTCGATCATGGCTAACCTTGCCAAGGTAAGCCATGATCGAGTCGGGAGATCAGCTCGGATCGGAACGTGCGTCCAGTCGGGCTGCACCGGCACAGAGTCGGAGTCCAATCGGATCGGCCATCCCAAGATGCGCAGCAGATCCGTGCAAAAAACGGCCCGTATAGCATCGCCAGACTACAGTGAAAACGTATAACGTTAGTGAGGACGCGTGGCAAGGACGCAAGACCCTTGGAGGCCGAAATTGAAGTATTCTGGGCGGCAGGCGGCCAAACCCCCAGGGAACCTGAGGAACTGGCCTGCGAAAATTGCTAGGGACGGGCCGCAGAGGC